AAAAAAAAAAAAAAAAAAAAAAAAAACTGAAACAAGCACTGCGACACTGTGTGAGCACTAAGTACTGAGACAGCTGAAAAATCACTGCTCTCACATACAGTTAGGGAGTACAGGAAGATTGTTAAGGAAAGGTGGAGAGTGAAGGGTCTGAAGAAAGTCTTCCTAAAAGAGGTGAGACATATGCAGAATTCATCCTTAACTGGCTTAAAGAGCAGCAACAGTTTTCAGTTACCTCTTCAATGGCTTTTTGTCTTTTGTCTTCCACATCTTTATCTATTCTATACAGAGATAAAGAAGAAAATAACCATGCCATTACTTCAGCTTATAGAACATTTAAAATAATCTTTCAAAGAAATAATTCCCATCTATTGAAACTTGGCAAATGTTAAACTCACTTTAAAAGAAAAATTGGTATAGTGCAACATTTACTAAATGGCAGCATTCTAAATTAAGCATTTAGCCCTTAGGCTTACTTCCCTCTTTCCTATTCAAACTGTGATTGGAATAGCACTTTCTTTTAAAAGGTTTACAGCAATATTTTTAAATTACTATCAACTACATAAAATATTCTGAATAAAGTGTGTCCTTTAGTCAACACAATTTAAGTATTTAATTTGACAGAAATTTTTAAATTGTCCAAATTCTATCTCTTCAATTATGGTAAGTTTATCATAGTGGTAAAGTTTGGATTACCTTTTACAGTGAAACATTTATATTCTGAATAAACAGATAAAAATACTAATTCTGAAATACAGTTGCAGCAATATAAAATTTTGTCCAGCTACATTCTGTTTTGCTTTGTTACAACGTGGAATTACAAAAACACAAATGTCTCAGTTACCAGATTTCATATAAAATGTCAGGTCTGAAGCACAGGCGTATACTTGCCAAGGATTCAGCAGTCAGCCTTGCAGGACCACTTCTTTATTCTTTTCCAAGAAGAATGCTTGCATTCCATCGTCAAATTGGCAAAACTTTTTTGTTAACAATTTAAAATTATGCCTGCCTCACCTCATGGCTTTGCTGTATAAAACATGTTTGAGAAGTGGGATGGACAGGCAACCCACTTTCAGGTCCCCCTTCTGTCTCTCTTAGGAGCTTTCTTTCCCTCAATAAATTTTTCCTACTCTTAAAAATAAATTATGTTTTCTCAGAAATTATTTTGTTCCTGGCTTAACAAAGCTCTATGGAGAGGGCCAGGGATTTAGCTCAGTGGTTCCGCCGCCTGCCTTGAAAACGCAAGGTCTAGAGTTTGATTCCTGGTGCCAAAAACAACAAAACAAAACAAAACAAAAAAAAAACCACCAAAACAAAGCTCTATGAGAATATACATGCTTCAGAAACTTAAATTGATGGATTTTTCAAGTAAGATAATCAGTACTTGTCCCAGCTTGACCAACAGCCATTTTGAGGATAACTCAATTCTCATGGGCATAAATAAGTCAAAACAATAGGGCACTATATTTCAGTAAGCTCATCTATCTTTATTTCATCCAAAAACTTTTTGCTGCTTCATCAGAGGCACTACAAAAACATGAGAGTCAGCTGATTGCTGGAAGCAGTAAAATTCAGCGTGGCCAAATATTGTAGAGCTAGTTGACAGAGAAGTCACAGAATATCCTGACCAGAATGGTGCTGAACACGAGAGTATGATGTACACTGGTAACGTGTGTTCTCAGTGTTGATCTCTGTGCAAGGAGGAAGGTCTGATACCTTCAGGATTGGTCACCTCCTGTGTTGATAAGACTCATTTGTTTACAAATTAGTATGCCTCACAGTTATTTTTCTGTATGTTATGGCATGGAAAGGAAGGGATGAACTGAAAGAGTTCTGATTAGTTAAGAAGAGGTATCGAAAACCACTGCTTGTTTCTAAGAATGAATCAACAGGTTAAAAGCATTTTCACCATCCCTAGTAAAAGGCATAACTATTCATTGTGTTGTTAGTTAACAAAATTAGTTTTATCAATCTTTTTCCTTTTCCTAGATCACAAAACTATTTATTGAAATATACCAAGAATCTCTTTGCAAACCCTGACAAAAATGTGAAAATGTTTGTTACAACTGTGATCTAACTGTAGTGTTAGATCTTAGAGACAGAAAAAAATATTCTATAATCTAATATCCCAATATATTTTTTCAGTGTTTCTCATCCCTCATAGTGCTCAATAAATGTCCTCACAGTTATCCAGCATTCAATGTTGAAGAGATAATAATAATAAAATAATAAGTAGTTTGTGAGGCAAAAATTACTCATTAATGGCAAATCATTTGCCTTTAGATATTCTTTTCACCTTCTCTTTCAAAGGTATTATTTAAATTTAACTGAAAATCATTTTATGCTTTATCTCCATTCTATTCCCTTCCTATAACAATTGGTCAGCAAAGCAAAGAGAAGACAGAGTAAAAAAGCCAGACAAGTTATTTGTAAGAATATCTCAACATGTGTGAATCACTGTATGAGTGAATACATTTAGACAGAAAAAACCCACATCAGAAATTTTCTCCCTCTTCACATATACAAATATTCAACCTTCAGAAGTTCCTTTCTCTCTTTACTTAAAAATGTTATTACACTTACGTGCAAGAAGGGAAAACTTACCGAGAATGACTTAAGTATGAGGCTTGACGATGAATTTCTTCTGGGTCTATTTCTACTGGATTTATTACAGCTAGTTGATCAATTGACCATCTAAATTCTCCTGGAGTCTTAACAAAAGACAGTGAACTTATTAATTAAGTAAAATAAAGTAGTCTGTCAAAATGCTAACCAATGTCACCTTCCAAAATAATGTGAGTAAATATACTCAATATAAGAAGTTTTGGTTTTTTTCGTACTGGGGAATCAAACTCAGGACCTTGCGCTTATGAGGCAGGTGGCAGCACCACTAAGCTTAATCCCCTGCCCGAGTATTTTAAAATTTATGTTTCAAGTAACCAAATCACACAAAATCAACTGGCTTGACATCTCTTCCAAAACATCTAAATCTTCTGTGTGATTTAAAAATTATGTTAATTCTAAGGGGGAAAATAACAAAAGTAGTAAAGGTATAATAAAATACCACAATCAACAATCAACAATGATATACCAGACACAAGTGAAAATTAAAATTTCTGTTATTCACCAAGAGTGAACTGAAGTTAAACAAAGCCCTAACTACAGAAATGGCTGCAAAATCTCATAAAATAGTTGATTATCAAAATAATCATAAATGGCAACCAATGCTGCCTTTCTATATTCAACTACTTAACAGAATCAAAAGCTCTATCCAAATCCTAATTTGTAACTAGAAATATAACCTAAACAAATTCAGGCCTAAAATACAAGATGCTACAACACTATAGCTTTGAGGCTTAAATTGCAGTCATTCCAGTATCAGTTTTTATTAAGACTAAAATGATAACTAAATTTTAATACACCAGTTAAAAAAATCATACAGATCAGATTAATGAAATGATTCAATATAAACCAGTGCCTGAATTGCAACCCAAAACCCACTTATTTATCACAAAGTGCCAACACTGCAATTAAATTTGAATACTGAGGTTTTTTTGCTTACAAAAAAAAAAAAAATCTTGTATCTTAAAAGAAAAACACAATAACAGAGCTTTCAATGATACAGCTTTTTTATTGAAAGGAAAAGTTTTCATTTGGCGTGCTTTTGAACATTTAATGGGATCTTTGTTGTTGTGTGCCGCTGATAATTTGTCAAACCTTGGCTGGGGTGACTTGGTTCACATGCTCTCATGCCACAGGTTCGCCACCACTAACAGAAACTGTAAGATGGCTCAGTTTTCCCCTAGTGCATGTTTACTCACAGCTGATAAGAAAATGCAGTAGAAAGTCACCTGGTTTGTAGTTTTCTTAGATAACTATGTTAACAGTCTAGACTTCAAAAAGAACTTCTCCAGAGTAGCAAATAAAGGCAAAATTAATAAGAGTGACGAAGAACTTTAATTTCCTAAAGACAACTTTCGCTTCCACATCACCTTTGTGCTAGCCGTTAATAACAGCACATATCACTTGTGCCTGTCCCACTAATTGAAGGGTTGGCTTATTTTTATAATAACCTGCAAATCAAGTATGGTTTTGACATTTTTAAATGGTTCACTCAAAAGAATTCTACTTCATTATGTGAAAACTGCATGAAATTCAATTCAGACCATAAATAAAACTTTACTGGGCACAGCCACCTTGACTTGTTTACACACTATCCATAACTTTTGTGTGTTTTTATATTTTGTGTCTTTTAAATATTTATTTGCTTATTTTCACAGCTGCGCTTTAGATACTAGGCAGAGTTGTGTAGTTTGACAGGAATCGCAAAGCCTACATATTTCCTTTCTGGTCTCTAATAGAAAAAGTTTGCTGCTGCCTACAATGGAATATAAGGTCTCAGAGTCTGTGTCTGGTGACTCTAACTTGCTAACAGTGTAATTGCTAAGCATCATATATGATGCATAACAATACTCAATAATGTTTGCTGATCAAACTAGGATGACAGCTTCTTCTCTACATGGAGTTAGTAGACATATCTTCAACCACAGTACCCAGCTACACTTACAACTACAATAAGCTAACATCTGTTATTTCTTCAATGCCAGGAAAGCCAAGACATTATGAGCAAGAAGTGTTGGTGTGATACTGTACAGGAGAATGACTACAGACAACAATAACATACTATGTATTTTAAAAAGTTAGGATTTGAATGTTTTCATTATAAAGAAATGATAAATGTTTGGGGGAATAAATACACGTGCCTTGACTGAAGCTTACATAAGGTACACATGTGTCAAAACATCGCATGCTAACTATAAATATGTACCCTTTGTTTACATATCAATTAGAAATTAAATTTTTAAAAAAGTAAATGCTGAATTTTTTCTGGCTTATTATTAGCATAACTACTTGATTATAATGAACACTACGATTATAAATATATAAAAGAAAATATAATTATAATTTATAATTATATTTAAATATAAATATATAAAAAGCACATATTTATACATGTTCCATTTTCCCTTATCTTGTGAAAAATTTACATTATAAATTATGCTACTTTTTCCATTTAAAATTAGTGTAAACACTAGTAAAAAATAACTTACTGGCAATTTTACAGATTTAAAAACAGAAGGACTGGCAACAGTTTGTTCATGGAGATTGGAATAGTCACTTGGGCTTTCAAAAGGATTTAAAACAGGGATCCTTCCTGGAGTTTCCGGTGTTATCTGCATTTTTAATTCTTTGACATCTCCCATAGCACAGAAAGCAAACTAAAAAAAAAAAAAAAATCAGAAGTACATATGTTAAAATTACAAAGTACCACAGCTATTGATTCTGAAAATTGAAATGTATTCAACAAAACACATATTTCACAAAAAAATTAACTCAAAACCTAATGTTCTTGGGCTATTTTTAAAATCTGCACACATTTTCTCAAGTAATCCTCGAAATAAGCTTGAAAGCTAGCAGAGGTACGGTATTAGTGCTATCGTTTTGCAGAAAAATTAAACTCCTGAAGAGACTGAGTGGTTTATAAACAGCCGTCAGCCAAATATGAGTGGGGTCAGGTCGGCCTCTGAGGCACCTCAATGGTACAATGGGCACACATCCAACTCAAGGACATACATCTTCAGTTTTCTTAGTATCTCAAGACTCACATCTTTTGGATATTTCAGGAATTATCTATCAGAGCCAACTGTTACGAAACGATTGCAGAGGTGAGGAAGACTGGGCACGGGTTTCTCGGGACTTTGGCCCTCCTTAGGGAATGACTGACAAGGTCTGGAGTTAACTGCCCTCGCCTCTCCGCAAACACCCTCCTTCCGCCAAACTCCCCGTGGGCAGAAAGGCAGACGGCGTGACTTCCGCAAGGTGGTACAACCAGAGAAAAAAGGATCCACTCTGAAAGAATGAAGTCCACCTGGCCTTCCTGGGCGAACAGCAGAGGTGTCACCTCACTCCTAAGCGATCACTTCTAGGCCCCCTCTCCTCCACATCTACTCCCTCGCCACTCTCATTCGCCCCGGAGCGAGCTGGTCTGGAGCTGGGAAAACGAGCTCTCCAATTCTACACAGGAAGAAAGGCCAGGAACTACAAAGAACGTACCTACAGGTGTGTGTTTAAAGGAGGCCCTCTGTTTCGAATCCGGGGCGCTCCCAGGGGGCCCGGCCAGCTCCCACGACGGCACAGACTCTTTAACTCCCTGCTTCCGCAGCTGTTTTACACCAACCAGGACACCGAGCTGCCGGACGACTGGCCAATCGCGTCGCCCGGCTGTCCGCGAACCGACCAATCGCATCGCGGCGGCGGAGTAAATTCGAATAGCTACTCCTCGCTCTATATTCCGCGCCGAGGAGCGAGGCTCCAAATTCAAATCAACGCAGCCTCACGCGGCGGCGAGCGCGAGGG